CACACACACACACACACACACACACACACACACACACGGGACATTTTGAAATGGCCGTAGCTTCTTTAGCTCCTTTTGCCGGGAAAAAAGCTAAGCTGATAATCTTCGGAGGATAAAAGGAACATCTGCTGACCGTGAGCAAGTTGACCACCAGGCGACGCAGCATTGGTCAAAGAGGCTGGAAAAATTACCAGGTGCATAATTGGAGAACTATACTGTGACGGTTTCAGGTGTTTGCTACCTCCATCTTTACAACTGGCTTCTATCCGCCTGCTCAAATGCCCCTCAGTTTATTCTAGCTATCAAATCATGCTCTTGTCATGGGAGCGAAAATTCCATTCTTAGAACTTTAAAGTAGTAAACAAGTAGATTTAAAGCAGTAATTTTTCATGATCGTACAAGTGGATTTTTTTTTTTTACAAGTCCTCGATAGACACCCAATGCTTACGTAATATCAGCGAAGTACCACAAGAATCATTTATTCAGATGTCTAAACCGTCAAACTAGTGCTTTTGTTTTCTCGGCGCTTATTCGTTGAGTTTTGATTTTCAGGAGACAGTAGCGCAGCTGCTTACACGACATATGCGCCTCGATCAATCGCATTCGCGGGGCAGTGATTTATCACCTTCTCAGCATCGTAATATGTGTATTGTACTGGGATGTCTAGCCGAGAAATTAGCTGGTCCAAGTAGCGCGGAAATCTGCTGTGATGCCACGTTGAATTATCTTATCGATAATCTTGTAAGTTTGTTGTTGAACATTTTTTTTTTTTGGTTGATTTTGTTGGTAAAATCATTTGAATACGTTTAAAATTTCATTAAATTACACAAATTTAGCCAGTGTGATAGTTATTAGTTAGTTGGTCGGAAAATTGTTTTCTTTTTTGTTTGTTGGAGAGTTATTCAGACTTGTAAGTATTGAAGGAAGTAGAAGGCAGTACGGGCCGTAAAGGTCCTATAAGCAATAGGGGAAGGTTAATAAGCTAACGGACAGGAACAACGGCCAATTCAGTGGAGGGTAAAGACCAGCATGGGCAGTACCAGCCGTACAAGGCGACTTAACTGCCTCCTCCTCTTTCGCTCCTTTTCCCCCTTCGCTCCTCTCCCCCTCTCCTCTCCTTCCGTACTCACTGTATCGAGTAGTGGCACTCGGAAGTGACTCAAGCAGTAACATGCGAAAACACCAACTATCCGGTGATAAGGCTGTTGATGGCTCCCCTGGTAAAACTGTTGATGGCTTCCATTTGAAAGTTTAGAAGTTATCGGCAATTCGAATTCTCTGAATTGTGCCAATACCAAATTATCATCGAATTGAATGGATGAATCGGAGAGACTAGTTATTTCGATAGCGGAGTCCCAAAACAGTTGGCGGGGCTTTAACTATTCAAAGTTC